TTGAGGGGGTCTTCTTATCTTAGCGATTATCTTTGTTTAAAAATGTTACATGTCACTTTTCACAATTCATTGACTAAAACTAGTCTCATGGCTCCACCAACCTAGAAGGGAGCCACAGAAGTGCAATCATATTTTTCTGGAAGGCAGAGAGCTGGAAGTATTTGGTGGCCAGCCCTACTGACTCCCCCGTTAGTTCCTCAAACAAGACAACTGTTGAATTCAACTAAGAACCCTACCTGAGTTCTCCCATCTCTTCCCTGTTCCTGGATGTTAACTTAAATGACATTTGAAGAAGAGTTCTGTGATTTTCATGATGTGTCCCACTTCCAGCTAAATTAAATTCCTTTCGTACATACTCTTATAAGTCCCTACACTTTTTCTGTATAGTTACTGGGATTTGCAGAGGGTGCAGAATAACACCCCTATCTTTCTTGAGTTCAGAATCAGCTGAAAGTTAGACACAGGAATTAGAGGAATGAGCTTTGTTTGTTTGTTTGTTTATAGATCTGTTTCATCCACCAGGGCCTTATCTATCTATCTGGTTTAGATCTGTTTCATCCACCAGAGGCCAAGCATCAACAGGGCAGAGAAAAAGCCATATTTTTCATTCTCCAGTGTATCCACAGCATCCAGCACGGTGGTTGGCACAGACAGGGTGCTCAATGAAGCTTTGTTATACATCAGAGCCCCTGCAGAAGTCCTCTTGGAATAACTAGTTTTCGTTAAGTAGGAATATATAACAATTGGGATGTATAACAATTGTTCACACCATCACCCTTATGAGATGCCTTTTCCTCACATAGAACTCCCACCAAACTTACAGGATCATGAAATAGCAAAAGTGCTTAAAAGTCACCTTCCAATTTCTACTCTTCTCCTAATGCAGGAATTCCTTTGGCCACATCTCTGCTACTTGCATATTTCTAGTTGCAAAGTAAGGACAGAATGCTCAGAGCCTGAAGTAATCAGTCTGTTGAACACTGCTGGTTGGACATGATCAGGAATTTTGTGGTCATGAAACCCAGAAAACAATGGGTTTTGGCCAACCATAGAGATCTATGGTCAAGTTGTGATAGGACTGAAATCATGTTCCATGATCAATTGAAGAAATTAGGACTACTCACCTGAGGGATAGGGGGTGCAGGGAGGGTAGGGATGACTACAAGAGCATGTACAGGAGTCCAGATAGTTGTGCAATGGACACATGATGGGGGTGGGGGCTGGGGAGACATCTGTAGTTTTTTTTTTTTTAGAGGTTTTCACTATAGGGCGCATGCGCTCACCAGACAGAGAGAGACAGAGAGACAGAAAGCAAGAAATAACCCCCAGGGGGATGGCCACGCCACAATCCCTTCTCCTCCATTCTCCTCTCGGGATCTTGGGCATGCACGCACAAACGCCCTGCGTGAGTTTTAAGCCACCAGGTCTGGGACGCAAACTGTGTCGACTACATGGGAGTCTAGCAACATAGCCATTATGCTAATTGCTGGTCCCGGCATCTGTAGGTTTTGAGATCAGAGCTGGGGTAATGGTTAGAAGTTAGAGAAGAAAGGGACTAGCGGATGGTGTAATGGTTACGTCATTGGACTCCCACATAGTCAACCACAGTTTGAGTCCCAGGCCTGGCAGCTTCAAACTGTGGTCTGGTTCGTGTGAGTGCATGCCCAAAATTCCAAGAGGAGAATGGAGGAGAAGGGACTGTGGCATGGCCATCCCCAAGAGGGTTAATTTCTCGCTTTCTGTCTTTCTATCTGTCTCTGTCTCTCTGTCAAGGGCACACATCTCACAAAAATCTCTCAAAAAAATTAGAGAAGAAAACTCTGCTATATTTAAGGAAGAACTTTCTGAAATTAGAGTTATTTATTAATTGGATAATTGTCTTAAATGTAGAATTAAAGTTTTTGAATCAACACATATTTATTGTCTACTATGTGTCAGATACTATGCTAGGTTAGTATATGATAATTCCTAGCAAGCCCATAGTAATCATTATGTTTTCAAAGTTCAAAGTTTATAAAAGGCATTTTAATCTCACTTAAACTTTCTCTGGGAGTGGTCAGCAGTATTAGGTGTTTCTCACTACTGGAACAGACCTTCCTTTACTCTTAAAATTTGTAAGCCTGGGATAATACTTTATTTTCTTCTTTTTTTGTTTTGTTTTGTTTTGTTTTGTTTTTGCAATAGGGTGCATGCTCTTACCAGAGTTAGACAGAGAGAGAAAGAGAGAGGGAAAGTGAGCAAGCACCTCTCAGGAGGGATGGCCACACCACAGTTACCTCTTCTCCATTCTCCTCTTGGGATTTTGGACATGTATACACATGCCCCTGATGTGTTTTGCAAAGCACCAGTCCAGGACTTGAACCATGCAATCTACCATGTAGGACCCAGCTGCATTAATCTCCAGGTCACCTGCTTGCCTGGATGATAACTTTTTTCTTTTATGTCCAATGTTAATTAGGTGGACATTATTCTATCAAAACAACGAGTGTTTCAGTAGCTGTAAACCAAAATTACCTATACTTGGGAATCACTCAACAAGACTAACTAATCCCTTACAATCTGTGACTGAAGAACTATAGACTATTCAACAAACCATTTCTCCTGTTTCTCTTCTATATACCACTAGACTACATTTCCCAGCTTCCTTTGTAAGTAGGTGTGGCAGAGTTTTAGCCAATGCAGACAGAATGAATGTGATGTGTGTCACCTGCATACCTGGCTCCTAAAAATATCTTTTCCCATATCCTGGTTAAAAGTAAGGGAATACAAGGCCATAGAGAAGGGCAGAGCCACAGGTAGAAGGAGCTGGATCTCTGAGTGACCATGAGGAAGGTATCGCACTGACTGGAAATGTTCTCAATGGTCTGACTGAATGAGAGATCAACCTTATGATGTTGTGCCATTACTGGAGTATATTTGTTAAAGTTGCAAATAGTCTTTGCCTTCTTATTGCAATGAGTACTGCAGGGTATCTGCAACAGTGGAAGAAAGGTGGACATTAAGTGAGGGATTATTGTTCTGCCCTTTCTAGTTTGAAGAGAATTAGCAGAGGAGATAGAAAGAAAGAACATAACACCTAATTACATACTGAGACTTCCTTTAGTTAATTTTTTTCCCACATCTACTTAATAAACTTCATAAAGCATGTTACTCTGTCTAACATCCTCTTCTGTATTTAATCTTTTCAGTGAGAAATGACAGGTGCTTTGGAGATTTCAGGTAAGATATAGACAGTACATGTTGTTGAATATTTTATTCATTCATTCAGCGATTTTTGAGCATTTACTATTGGATAGCCCCTGGAAATCACTGGTGAACAAAAGTTACGATACCTGCCCACAAGTTGGGATATAGCAAGGAAAATAGGTAACAAAGAGACAAGACTAGTCCAGTATGATACCACTATGAGAAAGAAGGAACAGGACACACTGGGTGCACATGGCATGGGTGTCTGACAAGGGGAGAGATCAGAGAATTGCCCTCTGAGAGGATGATGAGTAAATTAGACTTCCAGGATGAGTGAGAGTAGCCAGACGAGGAGGAGACTGTAGAATGAAAAAGAGTATTCTAGAGTGCATAAACTAGGGCCTGCATGTTATTGAATATGGGGCATGCTTAGAGGGACAAAAAGGTAAGCCAGAAAGGAAGAGTAGAGAGGATAAGCATGAGAGAAAGGTATGCATATACTTCACAAATGCACTTGGAGAGCCTTGTACCATATTTAACTGTCATGTGTACTATGTGTATGCATTTATGTAGGAGAAAATATGGCTGCTTAACTGTCAAGATGTCAGCAATTGCAGTGTTTGGGTAATTTCCACTTTCCTCCGTATGCTTTTCTGTTTGTTTTAAAATTGTTTACAATAGACATGCATTGCAGTGGCAATGTAAAACGAATCAAAATAAATGTTTTTTGCTTATTAGTTGTGACTGTACCTTCTGTAGTTCATTGGCTCCTTATTGCAGTCCTCAGAGCAAACTGAGGTCCAGAGTTGGTTCACACTGAAGCTAGAATTAGACTTCCCAGGTCTCATTCAGCTTATTTTCCTCCCATTGTGCCTGCCTTCCCTGCAGTTTTCTAAGTAGCAGTGATGGCTTTTCTTGGAACTACTGGCTTCAGTGCAGTGTTGCATGCTTTTGTCTATATAGGTTGCAACCTGGAGAAATTGGGTCAAAGTTCTCATGATACTGACCTATCCACAAGGCTTCCCACACAGAAAGGATGACCCTTTACCCCACTGGGCTACACACACTTATTTTTTCTGTGATGTTATTGCATCCTTTACTTAGTGATTTGGCAGTTGTGGAGGGGGCTGCTGATAATTTTCTAAAATGAAGTTAGGGAGGTGATTGTTCCTGATTATTCTCTCTACCCACATCTTTATTAACTAGCATGTGGGTGGTTAGCTGAACCAGTAATGATGAATTTTTGCAGCAAATACCCAAACACTTGCAAGTCTGGAAATACTCTATTAGCCTTCTCTAAATCATATTGTGACAGCAGTCAACCCTGACCATCTAAAAGGCTTAAAACACATGAATTTATGTCATGTGCATGTCACATTTCTATCCTGATTCAGGCCATAGTTTTTATTCTGAGATCCAGGCTGAAGGAACATCTCCTGTCTGAGATATTGCTGATGTGTGTCATAGTGAAGAGAGGTGATACTATGGGGTGGCCCTTAAAGCTTTGCCCATGGGTCACTTTCACTCACTTTTCCCTAGCCGAAGTGTGTCACAAAGCCAAAGTTGAGACGGGGAGACAGGGCTTGATAAGGAAGGGCCGCAAATACTTTGACAAACATTGACAGCTGAGCCCCGTTTCTATAAAATGGAAATGGAAAAATCTGTAAAATGGAAATAGGGGGCCAGCAGGTGGTGTGGTGGTTAAAACGCTGGAGGTCTATATAGGTTGCAACCTGGAGAAATTGGGTCAAAGTTCTCATGATACTGACCTATCCACAAGGCTTCCCACACAGAAAGGATGACCCTTTACCCCACTGGGCTACACACACTTATTTTTTCTGTGATGTTATTGCATCCTTTACTTAGTGATTTGGCAGTTGTGGAGGGGGCTGCTGATAATTTTCTAAAATGAAGTTAGGGAGGTGATTGTTCCTGATTATTCTCTCTACCCACATCTTTATTAACTAGCATGTGGGTGGTTAGCTGAACCAGTAATGATGAATTTTTGCAGCAAATACCCAAACACTTGCAAGTCTGGAAATACTCTATTAGCCTTCTCTAAATCATATTGTGACAGCAGTCAACCCTGACCATCTAAAAGGCTTAAAACACATGAATTTATGTCATGTGCATGTCACATTTCTATCCTGATTCAGGCCATAGTTTTTATTCTGAGATCCAGGCTGAAGGAACATCTCCTGTCTGAGATATTGCTGATGTGTGTCATAGTGAAGAGAGGTGATACTATGGGGTGGCCCTTAAAGCTTTGCCCATGGGTCACTTTCACTCACTTTTCCCTAGCCGAAGTGTGTCACAAAGCCAAAGTTGAGACGGGGAGACAGGGCTTGATAAGGAAGGGCCGCAAATACTTTGACAAACATTGACAGCTGAGCCCCGTTTCTATAAAATGGAAATGGAAAAATCTGTAAAATGGAAATAGGGGGCCAGCAGGTGGTGTGGTGGTTAAAACGCTGGAGTCCCACATGGCCAACTGTGGTTCGAGTCCCGCACCTGACTGCTTGCTTTCTGACTTTCCCTTTCTCTCTCTCTCTGTCTCCCTCTGGTCAAATTAAGTAATAAATAATAACAAATAAAATAAATAAATCTTTAAAAAGTGGAAATAGGTAAATTACATTATGGGATATTTAAACTGCGGAATATCATGAGTTAATTGCTCTTGAAAAGATGAGCTGACCTGGAGGAATGCCCACGATATAACATTAGGTGAAGAAAACAAGCTGCAGAGTGATGAACATAGCATGGTCTCATTTCTGTATGAGCCAAAACACCTCTGTCTGAGTATATTCATTTGTATGAGAGTTTTACTAAAAATAGCTAGTGTTCAATGAGTGCTTACTTCATCTGCCCAGGGTTGTCCTGGGCTGTGGTTTTTGTTTTGTTTTACATGTATTTGCTCATTTAATCCTTGGAAAAACCAGAATAAGGAGTAGAAATTTACACACTACATAGTTATTGATAGCTGTATTATTTGGGAATGGAATTAAAGAAAACATTTTATTCACTCTAAAAATTAGATGATGTCTATACATTTTTATTTGTCATAATAGATGGACTAGTCAGCTCTTGTGAAATAAACCACCACAAAATCTGAGTGTTATATGATGTCAGCTTTTATTTTCTCCTTATTGTTCTGCAAATCAGTAGCCTTCCTGGGGCTGTGCTTAACCTCTTCCACTCTCCATCACCCCTATGTCCCTTGTAGTTTTCTAAGTAGTGATGATGGTTTTTTCTGGAACTGTGACTTCAGTACAGAGTTGCATGTGTAAGGAGTCTGCAACCTGGAGAAATAGGGCTGAGGGTCAAATTTGGGTCAGGTCCATGTGATTCACTCTAGAACTCATGCTGGAGAGGCAGGATCTACCAGGGACAGATTCCTTCAGGGCAGAGGTTGGGGTACATAGAAACACGTGATGCATAGTTTTTTTTTTTCCTTTTTTTAGAGAGAGAGGTATTTTCCTATAGGGCATGTGTGCTCTCCAGAGAGATAGACAGAAAGTAAAAAATCACCCCCCAGGGTGGATGACCATACTGCAAGCCCTTCTCCATTCTTCTCTCAGGATTTTGGGCAAGCTTGCACGCGCACCTGGTGGTCAACTACATGGGAGTCTAGTGACATAACTGCTCCACAATCTGCTAGTCTCCACATGAAGCTTTTTAAGGCCTAGGTATGGAACTGGTATGCTGTCATTTCTGCCCACTTTCTATTGGCTGAAGCAAGTTGCATGGCCAAGTTCAGTATCAATAGACCTGGGATGTTATTGGTGTTGGGGAAGGAAGGAGTGAAAATCTGTGGTATAGTAGTTTACCATGAATTATTTTCTTAGTTAAAAGAGAAAAGAAACTAATAAAGCTAGAAAAAGAGAATACTGACCAGGGTTAGTTTAAATTATGATCAAACTATTCCAAAGTTGCACTATGCATTTCTTAAAAGTACGAACTCTATATGCACAGCTATAAAGAGCACAGTGGCATTGTGTGGACATTGAATTAACCAAAGTACTCATAGCCCAGGAAAGCAGGTAGGAGTTTACACTAGCATGGCTTATGCTGCTTGTGGTGTCACAGTCTAAGCATAATCCAGGGCAGTTTGATTGCCTTTTGATTACATCAGTGCTATTCATGTGCCCATGTGCAGTCTAAGAAACTGAGATCATGATATGATAGTCTTTCTTTCTTTTTTTTTAAAATTATTTTATTTAACTTTATTTATTTATTCATTTTAGCTTGACCAAAGAGGGACAGAGAGAGAGGGAGAGAGAGAGAGGGCAGCTGGGTCTGGGACTCAAACCATAGTCGGCCATATGGGAGTCCAGTGCCCCCAACCACCACCCACCTACTGGCTCCAAAATCATAGTCTTTCAAATCAGAAAGGGCTCTGGTGCCCACGGTAGGCAGGTGCCTCCTAACTTATAGGAAAGCTGCTTTTGCCAAGTACAAGTCATTTTCATCTGGGTGTGTCTAACATTGCTGGAAAATGGTTATGGAAATGAAAACTCCTTCACTTAACCAGTGAAGACATTGAGCACTCTCGCAGTGACTTACCTGAATGACACAGTAAGCTAGTGGCCAAAGATGCATGAAAACCCAGGTATCTTAAGAGAGTCCAGGCCCTTCTTAAGACACACATAAACATCAAGCAGATGGATCATTTGCAGATACGTACTAGGCTCTGAAAACTTCATGGCTTCTTTAAAAAAAATGTATGCTGACTGCTTCTTCTGCTGTTCCTCTAGTTTAAGACTGCCCAAAGACTTCTCTAAGCAACTAGCTCAGAGGTCTGAAAAATAAACACCAAATGACATAAAACATTGAAAAAGAGAGTAACATGTTATGTTCCTTAAAACATTGGTCAGAGAATAAGGCCTATTCTAGTTTCCTTTCTAAGTAATGTAGTAAATATCTGCCAATATAACTTATGAGAATTGATCTTGGGACTTGCAGTTAGCGTAATGGCTATGTTGCTGAACTCTCATGTAGTCAACAACAGTTCGAGTCCTGGACCGGGTGGCTTAAACTCATGCCGGGTATGTGTGCGTGCGTGCCCAAGATCCCTAGAGGAGAATGGAGGAGAAGGGATTGCGGCGTGGCCATCCCCCCCGGGGGGGGGGGGGGGGGGGATTTCTCGCTTTCTGTCTCTCTGTCTCTTTCTGTCTTTCTGG